CCGCCCCGCCCGGCTCCAGCTGGGGCAGGAAACGCACACGCGTGGGCAGCCCCCGCGCCCGGGACACCTGGGTTCCCGAGGGATCGTGACCCTGGCCCCGCACGCACGCACGCCGCGGAGGAGGGGGGAGAGGCTGGGAACGGGCCAAAGGGCTCGGGCTGCGGCTCCAGCACCCTTGGACCTGGCCAGGATCGGGCTCACACAGGGCTGGGGGAGGAGACAGCACCTGGCTCCCTGCACCCCTGGGGAAGCCAGGCCCCCCTGCCATGGGGCTCGTCACACTGCCAGCAGAAGCAGTCCCACCCTTGGGGCCAAACCCCCAGCCCCTGCCCCCCACCCTGAGCCTGGAGGGGCGGGTGCCCGGCATCGTGCACCCCAAGCAGAGCTGCACTGGGAGCAGCAATGCTCAGCTCTCTGCCACGCTCGGGCCCAGTCATCTCTCCCCCTTGGCCACCAGGGAGCCCCTCTACCCCCAGACCATCCGCACTACAAGGGCAGAGACCCCCGGCTGCAGCAGGGAGGAACTGGCCAGGGAGTGGGCAGGAGGCTGCAGGTGCCCCATTAGGGTTAGTGTTAGCACAGGGCACAGCACCCAGGCATCTGGCAGCCCCATCCCACCCCTGCCCGTCGCGGGACCAGGCCGGGGTGGACTTGAGGCCTGGGCTCCGCCGCGGTGCGCAGGCAGCGTACAGAACTAGCACCACCCGCCCCCCTCCTGCCCACAGGATTAGGGCTAATGAGATTTCCCATCTCATCCCCGATCCACTTAAACGCAGCCGCAGGAGGCAAAAGCTGCTCCCAGGCTCCAGCTCCCCCACTCCCCACACACTCTGCAGACAACCCCCTGCCCCGCTAAGCTCTTTCTAATTAAAGTTGGCCAGGGCCTGTCCATCACCCAGAGACATGGCTGAAGCCTGCAGGAGCCCAGGCTGGGGCAGGGACCAGCCTGTTGAGCCCTAGGGGGTAGGCACACATCCCCTACCAAGAACAGGGAGCCCTTTACTGCCCCTGCTCCCCCCAGCACCTGCCCCGACCCCCACTGGGCTGCCACAGCTGTAGCCTACAAAGAAGAGACAAGGCCAGAGCTACATAAAACATGTTTAATATCCAAGGGGGGGGGGGGACGCGCAGGCATCCTCAGGTACCGGCCCCTGCGCGCAGGGAGGGAGCGATACACACACAGGTGTGTCCCAGGGAGCTGGGGGAGGGCAGGGCAGGGCTGCGGCGACACGTCACACCAAGCACAGGGCAGGACAGGGGTATAAATAGGTGTGCTGGGGAGGAGCTTACAGTACGAGGCATCCGTCTGTCAGTCCAGGGGGGATACTACCATTACAATCACTGTGCTGGAAGGGGAGGGGGGGGTCTAGGGCATGAGCGTGACCTGCACCCTGCCACCCCGTTAGCTGCTCACGCCACTCCCTGAGCTGGG